AAATGTGTAACAATGGTAAATGTTCTAAAATTAATACTATTAATATTATAATTTACAAGCATGGACATGTGTAAATATAGTAAATATTCTAAAGTAAAATAGAAAATAAATACCGTAGGGTAAGTAAATGGTACCATTTAAATATGAAAATAAAATTAAAAAACTCTAAATTCCAAAATAAATGTATTAATATGTTGAATAATTGCCAAATAAGTCAAATTATTGAATTATTGTTAGGGACGATATCTGAAACATGTTGAATCATTGTTACGAAAACCAATATTTAGTCATGGGCAACTGTATGTTGCAGTTTCAAAACTAATAAATTGCAATGTCTTTAAAATTTTGATATACAATGAAGAGAATGCTCACACAAAGTATACGAGTAATGTAGTTTATAAAGAAGCGTTTAAAAATTTGCAAATCATTTAACTAACTTTTGTACTTTAGAGTAATGAAATATCTATATTCCATTATATACCAATTTAAATTCTTCAAAAATGATATTAATTTAGTAACTTAATTATGACTCGTGCAACGCACGGGCGTGATACTAGTAATTTCAATCAAATCATAAAATCGTATAAACCGAACAAGAAAGATTAGGACGAGAGGAGTATAAATAAATAGGCCCATTGGAGTGGATAAGTGGATCTAAATGGGCTAAATGTAGGTCAATACTTGTAAAGGCCCACTACCTTGGGCGAACCTTCGACCTGCAACCCAATATAAACGTTCATCATCAACATAGGGTTTTAGACATTTCGGTGAGAGTGTTCAGCAGGGAGCGGCGACACCAAAACAGCTCACCCCGGCAGCAGCGGCGGAACATCTAGCGCGGCGGCGATACTCAGCTCAACACCGCCAACATGGTTAGTCTCTCTTTCCATTTCAGAAGATTTATCATTAAGTTTCTATTTCAACATCCTTCACACTTCTGGGAAGTGTATCAGAAACCAGAAATTTGCATCCTTGTAATTTAGATCTGCGTCGTTTAACTTACAATGCGAAATTATCTGTTGATGAACTTTTGTCAGCCTCGACGATTCTTTTCGGACTATGCGATCTCTGTATTTGTCTGATTTTATCTGAATATGGGTCGATTTATGTGAGATTCCAATCTTAAGTCCCTTTCTTGAGGTTATCAGAATATCCTTAGCCTGTTGAGTCACCCAGGGGAAAAATTAGATTAATGTTTTGAATATGAGTAGCACACATTAAGCAGTTGGAATACCTCACTCGTTCAAATCTTAAAATGAAATTTTGATGTTTTTATTCTCACTTTACCAAGTTTTATGGTGTTGGTATTCAAAATATTTGAAGTATCCATGAACGAAATAGATTCATTCTTTTTACTGACCTAATGTATAACAATCAAATTACATGTCCTCTAGTAATGATTTTTTCAAGCTTTAAACGATTTAATTCCACTGGTCCAGTGTATGGATTGGATTGTTCATTGATTTTTGTCTTGTTCTTACAGTATCTGAGCAATGAATTTTTTGAATGGATTTGGACTGCCTCCTGATTGATTATCTATAGTATTTTGGTTCTAGTCTCTTAATATGATTATGATTTGCAGGCTAGAGGGTTGAAGAAGCACATGAAGAGGCTCAATGCCCCTAAGCATTGGATGCTTGACAAGCTTGGGGGTGCATTTGTAAGTGAAGGGTCATGGGAATTCTGTCATAATTCAAAACACTTCATGGCTTTCCCAATTCCCTAATTGTGGTCTTTAAAAAAATCCTCTTTACAGGCTCCTAAACCTTCTTCTGGGCCTCACAAATCAAGGGAGTGCTTGCCTTTGGTCCTTATCATCCGAAACAGGCTCCACTATGCCCTCACATATCGCGAGGTCATTTCCATTTTGATGCAACGACATGTTCTGGTTGATGGGAAGGTCAGGACTGACAAGACATACCCTGCTGGTTTCATGGGTAAGCTCTCTCCCGCTGTTTTAGTTCCTAATGCACCAATACATATAATATGAGAAATCTTTGATACTTGTGACTTTTCAGATGTTATTTCGATTCCTAAGACAAATGAAAACTTCCGCTTACTTTACGACACCAAAGGGCGGTTCCGTCTTCACTCAATAAGAGATGAAGAGGCAAAGGTCAGTATTTATATCTTTTCCTTAGCAGATTACTTCAAACATTTTTCACATGTTCCATCAATTTACTTGTATTTCTACATATTGGTGGCCTCTGCTGTTGTTGGATAAGCTTGTTTCTCACTATGAAAAAAAACGATTACATGAATCCTTTCATGAATTTTTCCGTCAGTAGAATCAATTGTTTTTCATTTTGGTAAAAGATGAAAAATATTGGTCATCATTAATTTTCAGTTTTTTGCTAGTCATCCTAAGCATGTAATTACTTATTTGCCTTAAAAGGGATTTTGCCCACCACTTTTCCTTTCAATAAATTGATGTGTTCATCCATTACATTTCCATTTCTGCCAATTGACCTTTAACTGAACAAGACCTGTATTATATCTCAAAAGACCTGTATTACTTCTTACTTGTTCATCCCGAAGCTTTTGCCTAACAAAACAATTATTTACTCTTTGCTGAGCTATATGCTTTACATGCTTTGGTGAAATGTGTGTAATCCCTGTGCCTAATACCAAACCTTCCTTGCGCCTATTTGCAGTTCAAGCTTTGCAAGGTTCGATCTGTTCAGTTTGGCAAAAAGGGGATCCCATACATCAACACATACGACGGTAGGACCATCCGCTACCCCGACCCCCTGATCAAGGCCAACGACACCATCAAGTTTGATTTGGAGGGAAACAAGATTGTCGATTTCATCAAGTTTGATGTTGGGAATGTTGTCATGGTGACCGGCGGGCGAAACAGGGGCCGTGTCGGGGTCATCAAGAGCAGGGAGAAGCATAAGGGCAGTTTCGAGACCATTCACGTCCAGGATTCCCTTGGACATGAGTTTGCCACCCGTTTGGGGAATGTCTTCACCATTGGGAAGGGTACCAAGCCATGGGTGTCTCTGCCCAAGGGCAAAGGTATCAAGCTGACAATCATTGAAGAGGCGAGGAAGAGGCTTGCTTCTCAGGATGCAACCGCTGCTTAAGAGTACAACAAAAGATATGTCTTTGCTTTATCCCTTAGCATCTTATTTGGTTTGAATGAAGTGTTTGGTAACATTGTTTTCTTTCTCTCATTTTCCATAACTTTTGCTACTTGCTTAGCAACCCTTTTTTGTTTTCAATATTACGTGAGATGTTCTCTCTTTGACGTTATTTTTATGTTATGGTCTTGTGGACCAAACTATTTCAAGTCTCTCAACTTACTATTTCCTCAACTTGCGTAGTGTTCTCCTTAAGTTGCAATTTAACCATTTATCTAGTCATATTTTAATTGATTTTCTTTGAAGTTTTTATAATTTATGTTATATATATTATTGTAATCGAATCAATAATACAAAAAAATGTTATAAATTGAATAAGAAATTAAAATTGGCCCTGTCGCCAGTCTATCTAGTTTGATAAGGCATAACACATTCTCTTTCACATTTTATTTATGTTAATAATCTTGGGGGCCAAAATACCTTCAATTAATCCTCATTTGAGTAATATTATTTACGAAGGACCATCTTGGGAATAAATCTCAATTATAGAGGACCACGTAGATAATTAAAACTTATTGAGGACTGATTTGGGAAAATACCTTATTACAAAAGACTATTTTGGGAATAAATCTCAATTATAGAGGACCACGTAGGTAATTAAAACTTATTGAGGACTAATTTGGGAAAATCTCTTATTACAAAGGACTATTTTGGGAATTTACTCTAGAATTTAATTGTTCATTTTGGTTCCTCATTCTAATTTTTGACGTTTCTAACAAAATAAATTTACATATGTAAAATCACATTGATTTTATAAATAAGTTTTGAAAACAAAGAAGATATTGATGTCCATAGCTATTAGGTTAAAATTTGATTGTGTAAAATAGTATTTGGGCAGGTGATAAAAGTATTTTATTTTATCAAATGATAAATAGCTATTAGGTCAAAATTTGATTGTGTAAAATAGTATTTGGGCAGGTGATAAAAATATTTTATTTTATCAAATGATAAATAATATAGGCATACATTAGGAATATTTTGTTTCTTTAAACACAAAAGAAGTTAATAATAATA